AAATTCACAATCAGTTTCTGTTTCACAGAACAATAATTAAACCAATAATTTTGGTTAAAATTTGCTTATTATTTTAAGTACTGTTCGGAGTTACTTATTTTAAATGACTAATTTTAAATAAGCCAATTTGATTAATTAAAACTCAATCCATATTTTTTTTTATTAAATAATAATATTGCTTGTAATCTGTTACTTCAATTTTATTAAGTAGATATAGGGTATTATTTTTTACAGTGTAGTGGCTAATTCGTATGAATTGGAACGAGTTCAGTCGTAAATTAAGAGAAGCTTGGCATCAAACCCCACCTGTACACCCAATCGTCATTGAGGGATAAGCAAATTGGGTCACACTTTACAATAAGGTTCATTAGTTAATGTTAATTAATCCATTTACTAACATGAACAAACAATGAACAATACATTTACTACTGTAATTGTCCATGTTAGTTAACGTTAGTTAATGAAAATACAGTAGTTCATTGTAAGTTCATGTTAACTCATGGTGCATTAACTAATGTTAACAAGCATGGACTTGGATGTTAATAATGCATTAGTAAATGTTCAATTATGATTAATAAATGCTGTACAAGAGTTGTTCATGATTAGTTCATGTTGGTAAATGCATTAACTAATGAACCTTATTATAAAGTGTTACCGCAAATTGTACTAATCATACTGTACGAATAAGATCATACGAATACATACAAATAAAAGGTCACTAATTGCCTTGAGATTGTGTTGGTTTGACCACTAAACTGCATTTCACTCCTTTGTCGCATCATGTGTCTTTAAAACAGTAGCTCAGCTTTTACAAATGTGTCTCAGCTCCTTTATAGTTACTTTTACTGGCGTGAACAAGCCTTAAATGTATCACACCAGCCAAAATTCTCACTTACAACAAAGAGCAACAACAATTTAGTTTCACAAAAGTGAAACTGAATATACCGCCCAGCCAAAACATCTACAGTCCTGTTCACTGGAAGTCTTTTCAGACTTTAATTACAATGTACAAGCAATACAAGTCTTTAAAACCATGACACAATGGCTTCTCGTACTAATAAATGAACCACAAGAACACATGCTGGGGCACTCTAGGTTTTAATTAGCTTTAAGGGAAAACGGCAGGGAATTACACTTCGAAAATTCCCCTCAAATGGCCTGGAAGGGTTTCCTTCGTCTGTACAGAGGAAGGCCAGACGTTGAAGTAGTAAAACGTGCGATGATACGTCAGATTTCGTAAGATGCGTAAATTACCCTATTTAGCCTGGTGTGCAAAGACATGCATCACTGCTATTCAATTCAGCTTTATTTGTATAGCGCTTTTACAATGTAGATTGTGTCAAAGTAGCTTCACATAAATGGTCATAGTAACTGGATCAGGGTAGTTCAGTTTTAAGTGTTTAAGTTCAGTTCAGTTTAGCTCAGTTCAGTGTGGTTTAAAATCATTACCGAGAGTCCAAACACTGAAGAGCAAATTCATCGATGGGTAGCTCTACCGATCCTAAACCATGTTAGGTAGAGGCGACAGCGAAGAGGGAAAAAAAAACTTCACCGAGAGAAACCAGACTCAGTTTAGCACGACCATTTTAATTTCTCCGCTGGCCAAAAGTCTTGAGCAGAGCTGCAGTCTCAGCGGTGGAGGCTTGAAGCTGGCCTCAGCGAAGACTCGTCTGTCCCGGGACAGACTGGAGAGGGTCTTTCTTCAGACTATTACTACTGAAGAAAGTCCAGAGTAAACAGAGAGAGAGAGGAAATATGGGGGAAAGGTTTAGAGGTCACCAGAGGACGCAGAAGTGTTTCCCTGAATGTCAAGAAGTGCTGGTGCTTATTTCAACAGAGTAAAGCAACAGGGACTTCCTTCATCTTCTTAAAATCTGATTGAGTTCCTTATTTCTCTCAACACAAAGACAAATCAACTTCTTCTTGCGTCATAGTTATTCAAAGACATGGCAGAATATTACTACGCAAGCAACGGTAAACGAGGTTGACCCTGATAAGGGAAGTTTGGGAATTACTGATGGACACAAAATCCGTAATACTGCTTTGCAACATGATCAAATGCACTGTGACCCATAGTTTACCTCACATGCCAACGTCAAGCATGCACACAAAGGTCAACCAGGGGTGAGATGTTCTAAATCTAAAGTGTGTATTGCTGAAATTTTAATACTAATGAATGTGTAAAATCGCATTGTGCGTGCTGTGAAAAGCAGGGATGTGGTAGCTTTAAATCATGCTCTCATTTTTATGAGAGATTAAAGTTCTAGTTTAACCCAAAATGAAAGTCCTGTAATCGTTCATCAACTTTCAAGTTGTTCCAAATCTATAAGAAATGTGTTCATCTTCAGAACACAAATAATATTAGAAGGGATGCACCTATGCAATTTTTGGTGATACGGATATTAACAAAAACTTTGGCCGATTACGTTACCAATTTCAATATTAGCTAATACATTTTTAAAACAATTGTGGTTAAAAAAATTTATATAAAAAAAATACTAAAACATTATCCATTACCAAATCAATACTGATACAGATATCAACATTAAAAAACAACAACTTTTGGTTGGTTCCAATACAAAAACTTCGGCTGATACTGATATTCACAAAAAACTTTCAATCAATTCCGACACCATTATTAACAAGAAACTTAATGATTACATTACAGATTATGGTATTAGCAAATAAACTAATTATTCGAAAAATACTTTTAACCAATTGTGATACAATTTGGATATTAACAAAAAAAATTGATTCCCAAATAAATTCTGATACCTATATTAGCCAAAAGGAAAACTTTTGGTTGATTGCCATAATAACAAAAAACTTGACAGACTGCATTACAGATTCTGATATTAGTAAATAAAACTTTCAACCAATTGCTTTACAATTCCAATATTAACAAAAAAATGTAAAAAATTAAATAAAATTGTTCCATTCCACTACCGATATAAAAGAACTTTCGACTGATACTGATACCAATATTAGCCAAAAAAAAAAAAAAAAAAACTTTCAAATGATTCCGATATCAATATTAACAAAAAATTATTAACAACAACAAAAAACTTGTTTCAACAAAAATATAGATTCACAAAACCCATACTAATACTGATATTAAAAAAAGAAAAACCATTTGTTCAATTCTAATACCAATATCAAAAACCTTCGTGTGAGCCCAATATTAGTAAGAAAACAATATTAAAGATCCTTCGGTTGATACCAATGTAAGCAAAAAATACATTTCAATTGATTGCGATACCAATATTTAAAAAAAAAAAAAAAATTAGCAAATAAAATTTTTAGTCAATTGGAAAACAATTCTATAATAATAAAAAAGGTTGATTTATATTTTTTCTTATTAAATTTAGTTTGATTCTGATACCAATATTAAAGAACCTACAGCTGATAACAATACGGATATTAACAAAAAAATTTGACTGGATACGTCACGGATTCCGAAATAAGCAAACAAAACTTCAACCAATTGCGATACAATTCTGACATTAACAAAAAAATGTGGTCAGTTCTCAAATCAATACTGATACTGATTTTAACAACAACAACAACAACAAAAAATAACATTTGGGCTATTCTAACAATTTTAACCAAAGATTCATTCAGTCTTATAATGATATTGGTCAACTGCACACAATATACAATACTAGCTATTTTTCCTCCATTAAATAACTTTTACTTAACATGGATCACCATTCAACTTTCCAACATTTCACAGATTTATTTCTATTCTAACACTCAAACAATACCATTAGCTGTTTGTTCAAACATTTTAAATGAGTTGAATTTTTTTTTTGGGGACAACTTAATTGTTTCTTCATGTTGTCACAACACAAATCTATCGTGTGGAAAGCAGCATTTTACAGTGAATATTGTTTTGACCAAAAAGGCTTTTTGACATAATATAACATACTAATTTAATAAACTTAACAAGCCAGTGCTTTTGCTATCTGTACTTTATAAGACATACAGCACATTTTCTCCATTACCATCAGTATTTTTATATCAGTACTAATAGGTTGACAGCTTTAAATGAATCTATATTGGCCAATAAATAACGGTGGCTGACACATTAGTGCATCCCTAGACTTTAATAACCAAATAGTAGCATTCTGTCTCTCCATTTAAAGTCTGTTTACTGAAAACCCTGCTGAAAAATCCAGCTTAAACCAGCCTAGGCTGGTTTAAGCTGTTTTTTTCAGTAGGGAACATTTGTAAAAGACACTAAAAATAAAATACAAAAGAACTGAGCAAATTAAAGCATTATAAAGATAAAAGAGCCTATGCTCTTTTTTTTTTAGATTTCTTTATGAATGTTTTGAAGCGTCAGCTGAATTTTACTGACAATAAATAAATCAAGAATCACAAAATAAACAGGAAAAAATATTCATTGTATTTACTAAAAAAATAATTTAGGTTAAGTGGATGCAAACAATTTATATGGGGTAAATTTAAACAAATTAAGTTGACAACTACTAAAATTAAGTCGTTTGTTTAAATTTAGCCCATATAAATTGCTTGCAACCACTTAGCTACCTCAAAATTGTAGTAACTACAATGAATATTTTTTTAGTGTAGCCTACGGAAAACTGCTAATTTAATGAGATTGTTTTACAGTGTATGATATACTTAAAATTTCACAACTCAAGCCAGTTTAATATATGAAATACACATTGCTCAAAAATGAACATTTATGCTTGGGCACAGAAACATCTTTAATATGGAAGTGAGTGGCGGTCATCGTGCGGTCAAGAGCCAAGGAAACGTCAGAGGCTCTCTCCATTGCCCAATACAGTACTGTTATTAAATTTCATTACATGTTTTATTTCTATATCGGCCAACGTAAAAAAGACTAAATACCAACAAAACAGATGATGGACATGATGACTAAGAGCGGCCAAGAAGTCATGCCGGCTCCGGGTAGGCGGAGCTCAGATGCGGATAAAAGCAGGGCGGGTCACCGAGAACGCAACTGTCTGTCCACTCCGAGCTTCTGACACCAGTCTGCTTTCATCAGCTCCTCGCCGTCAGCTTTTCAACTATCGCTCTCCGAAGTTTGCCTTGCGCAGCAAGCCAGTCTTTTACTGTATTTGTGCCAGTGTTGGTCGTGAAGAGTGTCCGCTGAAGATGAGTATGTCTCGGTCAGTTCCTCTGCTGCTGCTCGTGCTGTGTGGAGCCACGGACTTTGCCGGAGCCTGCAGCTGCTCTCCTGAACATCCACAGCAGGCGTATTGCAATGCGGATGTCGGTAAGATTCCATGCATTTAACTATTTCACATCCATGTCTGCATTATGCACCCATGACTGTGTCACATTAATGTGTGTGTATAAACCATAGACAGGATCCTTTATTATGAAAATAATGCCTGCAGAAACAACATTTAAAAAAAAACTTCTTAGATGGTTGCATTTTTAGAGTATGGTACTTAATTAATACAAATGACAAAGTAAACCTCACTGTAAAAAATTTAAGGTTCCACACAATTCATTTGTGTTGTCTCAACACAAACCAATTAAGTTAACTTAACAAATGTAAGTGGTTTGAACATAAAACAAATAAGTTGTCCAAACAAATCTCAAAAATTGTGTTTTTTCAACTTATAAAAAAAAAAGTGGAGCTGTAAGTCATTTTAAAAAGTTTCTCATACTCAAAAAATATGTTCGCTGTTTGTTCAAACTACTTATTTAAAATAAGTTAAAACAATTCTTGTTTTTAGAGCAACTTAATTGTTTTGTGTTCAATTTACTTAAATTGATCAAATCTAATAAGTTAATTTCCTTCATGTTGACTAAACACATATCAACACTTTAAAAAATTCAGGATTCCACACAATTCATTCTCGTCCCAACATAAATTGATTAGGTTAACTTAACAAATTTAAGTGGTTTGAACGTAAAACAATTTTGTTAAGAAATGTGTTGTTTCAACTCATTTTATACAAGCCAATAAGTTATTGTAACTGTAGTTGTACTTTTGCTGTACTCAAACAATGACGGTTCCAGTTTGTTCAAACTACTTATTTAAAATAGGCTGAAATGACAACTTTTTGGGGGACAACTTAATTGTTTTATGTTCAATCCACTTAAATTTGTAAAAACTAATAAGTTATTTTTTAATTCCTTCATGTTGACATTACAGAAATCGATTGTGTGGAATCCAGCATTTCTACAGCTGAACATGTTGTGGTTTCTTACCCTAACATTAATATGTTATTTACACATATTAAATCCATTTATCTGTATCACAATACTTTTTAGAGTTAGATTATGCTATTAATAATGATAATGTCAATGTATTTTATCATAACAAAACAATTCAAAACTTTATTGTCAGACTTGCATCTGAATTTTTTCTTGCATAACAGCATAATAAATACTGCTTACAAGGAATCAAAGAGTAATACAAAAAATATTCATTTTACAAGGACCTCATTCAGCTCCAGGACAGCCTGATGTAAAAATGACTCTTTAAATTTCACTTTATTAAAACCTGGGACTCTAAATCGAGGATTAGACTTGATGGTACACATTCATGATTCAACACATGACTAGGGTTCGAAATCATCTTCCTTGCCAGCCTTGTGAGGTTCTTGTAATACAAACGATCATATAATTTTTCAAGAGGCTTTCCTACTATCTTTGATCAGATTTTAATCTTGTTCATCAACTTTGTTTTGATATTCCCAAATAGACACCATAGGGTCTGTCATGTTTTACCAAAGTTTACAATTTTAGCTGTGATTTCTTTTCTTTATTATTTTATTCACATTATTTTTACATATCTTGCTTTTTACAGTGTGTAACACTTACATTAACACTTTAGTTTGAGTACCAATTCTCACGTCTAACTATTGGCTTACTGCCTGCATATTTTTAAGATATTGGGTCTGTATTAGTTCTTATAAATATCCTACATCCTCAAACTCAATCGCTAACCCTTACAATTTCCTTAAAAAATATTAATAAGCAGAAAATTAGGAGTTTATTGAGTTAAGATTCATAGCTAATGGCAAGAATTGCCTCAAAGTGTGACCAGTTTCATTTTCATTTTTCAGAGCAGTAATTTGTTTACATGTTATAAATAACTAAGCAATGTGCATAATTATTTTCTCTCTAATTAGAACTATATGGGCAAAAGAAAATTAAAGGATGAGATTATTCAAATGAAATGAAAGAAGAGTCTTAAATAATAGCTGGTTGTACACTCTCAGAAATAAAGGTATGTGAGCTGTCACTAGGGTGGCTTTTCAAAAGGCGCACATTTGTATTTGAAGGGTCCATATTGGTACCTCAAAAGTATTTATTAGTACCTACAAATTTTAAGAGGAACACTTTTGTACATTTTAGGTACCAATATGTAGCCTTGAGGTATTAATATAGCCCTTTTAGGTACACATTTGTAAAGGTGCCACTCTAGTGACAGCTTGCCTACCTTAATTTCTGAGAGTGTGAAAACATGTGCAAAACAATGACTTCAAAGCGAGCTGTGATTGGATGAGCCAGGCTTAACATATCAAAGAAGTTTGTCAAGTGTTTTATTATTAAAGTAGTCAAAATGTCATTTGATTGTTTTCTTTTTAGGGAGCTTCATGGCAAAACAACTGAATGCTAAAAAAAAATGCAAGGTTGTTTTAACTAAAAGTTGGATCAAATATAAAGAATTTAACCACTGGGTTAAAAATTGTAGTTTAAATTCAGTTGGAAAACATGTAGATTTAATATTTAACACTGGGTTAAAACAACCGAGTATTTTTTTAGAGTGACTGATGAGATGATTCATAAATGTATGATGAGTCTAACATGATATAAAATCAAGATAACACAACAATCCCCATAAAAATCCTCTGAGTCACATTTCACAAGTCATTATAAAACAATTTAACACACCCGTTCAGTCATATAATAATGCATAAAGGTGTGATGTTACTTGGCAGTAATAAATAACTGCAAAAATCAGCTTCACATTGTGAACGTATCCGGCTAAATCTCATCTCAGACACAGCCCACCTTTTATTTTCGCATAAATTCATTATGAATTCAATCCCCATGTGTATAAATAGAGCAATGTAAGCTTATTCTCCACTGATATCTACTGTATGAAAGCACATAATGTCCCACATCTGTGCAGTGTATATCATCCTCCTTGAAATATGATAAAGCTGAAATTATAAAGGCCTGATTTGATCCTCTGACCTTCAGCAGCCGGCCATTACATGACCTGTGCATTTTCCATTGAGTGTAGTAGCCCTGTAATTAAGCCCTCCTTCAACAGGCTGATTGCAGCTCCAGAAAATGAGAAAGCATTGCCACATGCTAGCGACATACCGTGGTTTGTGTTTGACATTAGATAGATGGTCATTACATGACTTGGGATGGCGAGACCCCACTGACCGCACACCCACCTATACTTAACAGAGATTCGCTGAACAACAACATCTGGCGCCCACCGCAGGAATCGGCCATCTCATTCTGGAGTATTCTGGCTGTTTGAAACTCCCACATGACTTGCTCATGATGGCTGAAAGATTCAACACAGTCGAATCATATTAATAAAGCACTTTACACAGTTACAGATAGTCTCAGCCATATAGTAGCACTGCTCTCAGACCTGTGGCTAAATGCCTGATGTAATCTTATGTAGATTTGAAGTGAAGACACCTCTTATTGGTTTGAATATACAGTTGGATGTGCAGCAATCTTAATCAGTCCACACAGCAAAATCCTCTGATTCAAATGTACTCAGTTTAGATAGTGGGCTCTATTTTTACAGTCCATGCGCAGAGCGCAAAACGCAGGGCGCAAACGCTTTCAGGGCGTGTCAGGATGCATTTTTGCTAATTTAAGGACCGCTTTGCACCATGGCGCATGGTCTAAAAGGGTTGAGTTTATTTTCTTAATGAGTTATAGGTGTGTTTTGAGAGTAAAACAATCAGAGTCTCATCTCCCATTCCCTTTAAGAGCCAGCTGCGTCGCGCCATTTGCGTATTTTGACGTAAAGTAAGTTCGCTTTTGCTCTCGTGGATAGGGAAACCTTACCGCACAGACATCAATTAGCCTATAAATAATTAATTTAGTTTGTTAAGCGCAAATATTTGTTTCAAAACTATTTCTAAATTCAGTTCTAATTTCCAGCAAACGAATAAATGAACAATAATAACAAAGTGTGGTCAAAATACTGAGTTATTTCCAAATACACCTGCCATGCCCCATATGGTCTAAAACCTGACAGTTGGACAAATCTAAGCTTGTTTTTAATAAAACAAATATAAATATAAATATAATAAATAATACTGCTAATAATAATAACATTATACAAAAGCAAATTGAATGAACTGAAAAAGCCTCCCGAGATGAAGAAAGTACGGCTGTGGTTTTTAAATCTTCATGTAGGCTAGAAATTAATATATTTTGTAATATTTTAATCATTTATATTTATATCCTACATATCTTTATTATATATATCCTTAATATATGATATCTTTTTCATATATAAAGATATTTGCGTGTTGCAATGCATCTAGTGTGTATGGTGTAAGCCAGGCGCACTTTGCGCTAGACAATAGACCAACTTTGTTCTGGTCTAAAGAACAGACTATTTACAGTTTCTCAAAATAGCAACGTGCCAAAACACGCCTGACCAGAACGCCTATGGGCGCACATATGAGCGCAAATGCATTTGCTATTTAAACAGTGTGGCGCAACACCTCAAAATGACCCTTGCGCCGAGCTGAAAGTAGCAAAAGACCATTGCGCCGCACCTTGCGCCACACTGCGCCAGGTGTATGATAGGGCCCAGTATTTGGTCCCTCTCTAAATCACGTTGAAGTTACTCAAGTTAAAGAGACAATGAAAGGATTAATAAGGAGATGATTGAGCACTAATAATGAACACCTGCTGGTGATAAACCAACGCAATCTCACGGCAATTCGTAACTTTTTGATTTAGTGGCTAATTCATTTGAATTTGTACGATCTAATTTGTACAATTTGGTACGATTTGCTCATCACCCAATAACGGTTGGGGTTAGGGGCCACGCCTCCTTTTTAAAATCGTACATTTTCGTATGATTGAACTCGTGCGGATTCGTACGAATTAGCCACTAAACTGGCAAAACCTAAAATACTTGCGTTTCCTCGTGAGATCAGACTGGATACCCAGGAGAAAAAATATATAATTATATGCAATTAAAATACACTTAAATACCCGCAAATACATTTTTAGTACATTTTTATTTTTTTTTTGTGTTAA